CGGTACAGGTGGACTTCCCAAAGCAGCAGTCCTGTCCCACTATGCGCTTGTCTCACAGCACCGCACCATTTACTATGAAGTACCGCATCCAGTCAGTCGACTTATCTCGCTACCCATGTTCCATCTGTTTGGTGCTCTTTGGACACATTTGTTCCCTGTTCGCTATGGACACCCGTTGTTTGTCATGCCGCGCTTCGAGGTCAATGAGTTTTTGGCTGCTGTTCACAAATACCAGATCTCAGAGACTTATCTTGTCCCTGCTATTATTCACTCTATCAACCAGTCGTCTGTACCCATCGGTGATATGTTGTCTTCCCTGCGCTATGTTGGTGTTGCGGGCGCTCCTATTGATGGTCACTCCATGCAGCAGTTCCGCAGTCATATCAACCCTATGGGATACGCTTGCCAGATCTGGGGAATGACTGAGGTCGGTGTGACATTCCAGACTCGCTGGGGCCAGCAGGGTGATCCTGGAAGCATTGGCACCTGTATTGCCGGGTACGAGGCCCGTCTGGTGGAAGCCGATGGCAAAATCGTGCAGAACGATTGCTGCTCGGGCGAATTGTACGTCCGTGGACCGGGTCTGCTGAGTGCATACAAGGGCCGCACGGACGCATTGGAGCCACATGGATGGTTCCGAACAGGAGATGTGGCGTACGTCAAGCAAGGCCAATATTACATTGTCGGGCGGACAAAGGAGCTTATCAAAGTACGAGGGTAAGTTCATCATCAAGTCCCATTTTCCTCATCAACTCAACCAACATACTAATCATTCTACAGATGGCAAGTAGCCCCAGCTGAGGTTGAAAGCATCCTCCTCCAACACCCGGGAATTCATGATGTCGCCGTGATCGGCGTGCACAAAGATGGTGTGGGCGAGGTTCCACGCGCCTTCGTCGTTCGTTCTCGCGACCCATCCCTGCGTCGTGTAACCGGTGAGCAAGTTTACAACTACGCACGCCAGCAACTGGCTGCATATAAATCTCTCGATGGAGGTGTCGTATTCGTGGAAGAGATCCCGCGCACTGCAAGTGGAAAGATCCAGCGCTTCAGACTGTCGCAGATGAACTCCTATCGTGAGATGGTGGCGTCCCTTCTATCCCGATTCGACGGTGAAGGTTCCGCTGCAGCCACCGCGGCCCGACGTGGACTACCCGCTGCGGCTGAGATGTCGCATGTTGGACTCATCCCTGAAGGACGGGTTGCAGTCTAAATTAAGAAAGTGGGGCACGGTATCTTTGCACTATATACATCGCATATGAGTTGTATCTCACTCATTCAGCGGTGAAGTGGTGCGGTGAACGGCACATGGGATGGTGTTTGGGTTAGAAGACGGCGCTGTCGGACATTTGGTGTTTTGGTGTTTTGTATTTATTTTTATTTTTTTCCTTTTCGGGCGGTTCTCATCTTTATTCTCATGACTCAGATTCAATATTCTCACGATACTTCCAAATTAAATGATTGTTTTTATTCATTCACACCAGTATTACCTACGGAGTAGATAATTATTAGCAGACCCTCTATCTACATAGTACTACTTTATTTGTTTTTGATAATTACAAATAACACCAAATCCACGGCCAAGGCCATCAATCTAGTATACATATCAAGTTGTCCAAGTAAACAACACAGACTAGACCCATCTACCGATCCCCAACCTCCGAACCACGACCTCTACATCATGCAGTGAGAATCTAGAACATCCCACACCGCACTTCCAGTCCCACTTCCCTGTCCCAGCCCAAGGCCTCGGTTCTCGATCTCGGATCTCGGCTTGCATCCGTAAAACCCGCTGCACGGAAGAAATATGATGTATAACAGAGACGAAAATACAAAAAGCAAATTAATATATATATATTTTCACGGCCCCACGTCGATCCAGTTCGCGTCATGCAGATGCGAGGTCCCAATGTAAAAAAAAAAAAGTACGTTATAGCTGGGTTCGTACGGAATCCGAATCCGAGAGACCGATACCGATGGAAAATCCCACGATGAAGTGCATCCGCGCCAATATATGCAGGCTGGTCGGGTGGGGAACATTGGAACATTGGAACATTGGAACATTGGAACCATGGAACCTTGGAATCACCGTGGGCCCCGTGGATGTTCCGTTTCCAAGGTTCCCGAGGTCCCTGCAAGGGACACGTCCTTGGTACTGGAGCGGGGATCGACGGAGCTAAATAGGTTAATTATTGATGGCCCGATTAGGTTGCATTAACTGTCTTGGTTAGAGTTTCTTTCTTTCTTTTTTTTTTTTTGTTGGAAGTACTAGTTATTTTCAATATTCAAGGTACGGAGTGTCGGAGTACTCCGTTCAGCGGGTCCTGTTCCAGCTGGCATGACTCTTACTATTTCCGGTGGTTTGGTGGCTTCCTTCCGACTCTTGCTATTTCCGGAGTAGACGGAGATGTGTTCCTGCGGGCCGCGAGTTATTGTTTGGTTTAATCCGCCTTGACAAAGTTCGGGATGTTACATCGGCCCGATGGCATTTTGGCACGTCAGGTCTTGCACGTCAGGGTTTTTTTTTTTTTTTTTTTTTTTACCAGGTCTACGGGTTTTGCCATGTTTGGGTCATTTGTCCTTGCTTTTCTCGGGGGGTTATGTCTTGCCCTTCTTTGGGTATAAGGAGAAATATCATATCGCACCTTGCATGGGGTGAAGACAAGGATTCTGAGGATTCCCGTCCCTCTGGGAGACTGATACATGTGACTCAGAGGAACATGTCTTCGGGAATAGAATTGCGTAAATGTGTCAAGTTAACGCATGTAAATATCTTCCGAATCACGAGGCCAGTTTACGGAGTACTCTGTAGAGGAATTACAATATTTCTTTTTTTTTTTTTTTCGTCGGGTGTAGGTGCATTTGCATTTGCATTTGTTGAGCTTGCCCTGTGCGCTGGAGAAGCTCGGCCCTAATATCTACGACATGTCAAATCCACGCTCTCAACAAAGTACCTAAAGTGCCCAAAGTACTGAGAAAAACCAAATTCCAGGCACAGATTAAAATTGATGGAATTCGTCCCGTCCATGCATCTAGAACACGTCAAAATCACGCTCATATCCACGCAAGATCCTCAATGGGTTTTCGGGGATGATTAGTTGTTTTACGGAGCAGTAATATATCTACTCCGTATTGAACTCCCAATTCCTCTCATCAGGATCTGAGTGGAGCACATGAACAGGAAATCGACGTCTTGCCGTCTTTCCTGGGGATAACCCTGCATTTCCTAGACATAACCGCTTGGATACGTGTCCATATCTATCTGGATCTAGATTCCTCGTTGGCCTGGATGTGCCTTTACGAACAGGCCCCACTGAATGTCATGGCTGTCACAGTCGGTGAGGAAGAATTTGATGAATAGGAACGCCAAGGCTAGAGGACTGTCACCGCGACGAGGTTGTGCAGGGATAATGACAATTAAGCCGAGTCTTCGTATACCGAAAATAGTGTTGACGATATTTTGTCCAAGGGTCGTATTGGGATCATGGTGGCGTTCGGATAGTTGGATTTGGTGGGAAGATCTGTAGGGGATTTTACTGTTCTTCAGATGAGCTGGTGAATTGACTACTAATTTGATATCATTCTGTTGCTATTTTGCGATCGATGTCTTCCTCATGGTTGTTTCGGTGTGTCTGTGTTGGATATGTTGGATAAATATATATGTTTTGTTATTATACAAATTAGGATGGATTGACAAACCTACCTACCTATCCTGAGATTTCATTCCCAATCATCATCAAAGCGATCGAAATTCCTCCCCAATGCAACTCTTATCTTGATAACCATTCTGTATAGTGTATCCATATCTCCATCCCCAGTCTCAAATGATACCATACCCCATCCACCAAACCCCCCAAACCAAAGGTCCCAACGCCCCAAGCACAGCGGCACCAACTGACAATTCCAGAATACACCAAATCCAAATAGTCCCAACAGCAGGCGCCTTCTTCATAACCGCATAATACGGCTCTCCATTCGTAATAGCGATAAGATGAGCGCCTAACAACGCAGAAAGAGGAAGAAAGACCAGAGTCTTCAGTGCAGGCGGGAAAACCAGCCTTCGTAGGAATGAAAATGTCAATTTGTCCCTTGTCAATGGGAACAAATAAAGAGGAGCAGGCTCTGCCTTTGAATTGCGCTTTTTGAAGGAGATGATATGACCGTGTGCTAGGTGGACGAATAAAGTAAGGAGAGGGAACGCGGTTGTCACGGATTCTTTAAAGAGTTCTGGTAGGTCGATTCTTTCGGCGTATTGGTGGGCTGCGAGGTATCCCAGGGTGAGGTGGAGGGTTGTGAGAGGCAGGGAAAGGAGGATTGTGTCGAGGAATGGCGGGAGGGGTTTGTCGGATTCGGCTTCAGAGTCGGATTGCTTGAGAGTTGTGCCATTTGTACTCTTTTGAGTGTTCTTGATTTTGGTATTCTTTTGCGAGGGATCTGAGAGATGGCTGCTGATGTCGCCGTCGGTGTCGACCAATTCTCCAGACGCGTCGACCGTCACGAACCGCGTTCCCTCTGACTGCGACGGTATGCCCTGTGCTTCAATCGAAGCTGGCACTGCTCCCTTCTTTTGATGCAGTCCGCTTTGTCGCTCTGCGATGATGTCATATAATGTGCGCTCGACGGTTGGTTTGTTTTTGGTTGGATCATCGCGTTGGGGATGGGCCATGGCGATTTCGGGTTCAACTTTTTTAGTGGAAGATCCAGCTGCACGGCGCTGTTTGCGATTCCTTGGAGTCTCCATCCCGTCGGATGTATTGGTGTGGAGGGATGAGTGGCGGGCAAAAAGAAAGTTAACAAACACTGACGTGGAGAAATGAGGTTGAGGCTCGGCGATAAGCTCCATCCACCGGGGTTAAGGCGGTCGCCAGTTGGCTCCCGGCTCTACATTTCTATTCCTCAAGCTTAGGATAATATTGGGAAAACAAACTTTTATAAATTGATTCCTCCTAATCCTCTGCACCCTTTGACACACCCACACAACAAGTAAATACACGGACCATTCAACCAGCCTGGTACAAGGCTGGACCGGCAACCACATGCGGGTTGATCAAGCTCAGATTGAACGGGCTCACATATGGAGCGCTGTCGGTGATAGCAATGAAAATGGTACCATTAAAAGCCGAGTTACCTTGGTACGTTTCCAAGTCGGGCTGGGTAGTATATCCTCGAATGGGATCGGTGGTACTGTTGGTGGCATTGGTGGTATTTGTGGTTTCAGTGGTGTTGGCGCTGGTATCGTTGGTGCCGCTGATAACATGCAAAGGGGTGTAGGTAATGTTCAGTTGCGACACCCAAAGTACATACTGTGCACTGCCAGCTTTTGTCTCCGTTGTGGTGATGTAGCTGTTGTTGGGGCCGACTTTCTTCCCAGGAAGATCCCACTGCAACAGTACCATACGACCCGCGGCCGTGAGAGGTATTGGGCGAATCTTGCTAACAGAAGCACCGCAGCTATTAGCTGAAGTAGACGAGTTGAATAGTCCGGAGCCTTTGGGTGACTTGGGGATGCTGACGCCTGATCCGACGGTGTTGTTGATTCCGGTGGTCTCATTGAAGATGAATCCCGCACTCTGATTGAACCGAGAAGTCGTGTTGAGCCTTGAAATTTGATCGGCACTTGTGGTAAAATTGTACCTAGTAGAATTGAACCCAGTAGAATTGAACCCAGTAGAATTGAACCCAGTAGAATTGAACCCAGTAGAATTGGACCCAGTGGAGTTGAGCCCAGTGGAGTTGAGCCCAGTGGAATTGAGCCCATTAAAAACGTACGCAGTAGGATCATACCCAGTGGAATCATACCCGGAGGAATTATACCCATTTGTTCTGTTATTACCAGAGGAAGAGTTGCGAGCAGTCCCCGAAGTCCATGGATCAGGCTGATTAACCACCATCAACGTGGGGAAATTTTGCCAAATCAAGCGAGTCTGATTTTCAGGACAAGAGCTGATGAAAGGTGCCAGCAACGTCCAAGCCCAGGACTGTGGTATGCCAACTTCAAACCACTCAACCATCGGGAAGAGACCCTCAAACTGACGGAAGATCAATTGCTGTCTTGCTTCCGTGGCGATGGACTGGGTCAAAAGAGTGGCTGCCTCGCGCGAGTCAAGATGAGCCAAAAACCCATACACGCCAGCTTCGCCCCAGCGAGTGAGTTTCTGAGAGAAGTCGATAAACTCCTTAACATTCGTGTACGGGTAGATATAATTGCATTGCTGTGGGGCACGGTCTCCGAGGATGTTGCTGAGCATGGTGGCATGGCCTATCTCTTGTTGCGCCATTAATGCGATCAACTCGCGGTCTGAAGCGGTCAATCCTGCGGCTCGGAAGGCTGAATCGTTGAAACGACGGAGCCCGTCTTGGAATAGATCGAGCTCAATCCATTCTTGGTATAGAGCAAGCGCCTGTGGATTGTAGATTAGCTTCTAGGCCACGGCAGTGCTTTGGAAATCTAGTGCGGATGCATACTAAAGACTCGTAGTCGAAATCGCTCTTTGTATTGTAGACAGGTATGCTTCCATTGGTCCCGACTCCACCTGCTGGAACATATGGAGCAGGCTCGGAATGATGGAGATTTCCATCACCGGGATAGGTTGTCGCTCCGGGTGCAACGCCTCCGCGCGATATTCCCGTTCCGATTGAAGAAGCTGTTAGTGCGCCTGTGGTTGTCGGAGTTCCAGTAAAAGGTGTATACAGCCTGGAGCTATTGTACGTCTCAAGTGGCGGCGCTGAAGCGGATAAATCTGCAGAGGGCAGTGGCGGTTCAAGGGTTGTTTTCAGATCTTGATTGTGTTTCCTTGGGGAAGCAACCGTGAAAGACAGTGAGCTCAATACGCTCAATAGAATGACACTCTTCCACATCATCTCTGCTGTAAGTTGGATTCAATTCAAGATAGGGTAATCCTTCTTCTCGCTAGTCATCAAAGCATTGAGTTAGTTGTAATGCGCAAAAGCCGGATAGGTACGGACCTTGTGTAGAGTACATATAGTGTTCATCCAATATCAGTATATAAATGATCACCGGCCAAGGCAATCCAAAGTCTGGGGTCCTTGTTTTTGATGTAACAAAATCGCACAATGGCGAAGACACCATCTTCAGGGCTAAAATATGGGTAGCTCTGAACGGGGATGAATTCCGAGTGGTGAAATTGCCACATGGTAATGTTAAGGTTCTTTGGTGTAATTTCAATGGCAACTTATTCTTCTCAGAGAGGGCGTTCTCTGTACACTTGGCTGATTGAACAGTTTAGAAGACACTGCAATTCGCTCTTAGACAATAGCTGCGGATGCTTCGGGAACAGATGACGTCGAAGTAAGCTTCCCCTGTCAACATTCCATGGACCTGAACAGTCTAAAGTACAATTTAAGATATCTGTGGGGGTGGAAGTCGAATCCGGCCGGACACTGCCGGATGACCTTTTAGGAACAAGGGGAAAGGCTATACGAAACTTGGGGGTAAATTATCAGCATATTAAATATATAAGAATGCAGAGTGGTCGAGTAGAAATAGAATTGCTCAGTCAACGGAATCCAAGGAGAGGGGATATTTCCCATATAAATAGTGCCGAAACCGCAATATCAGAGTGGAAAATGCCCGAGTAGTTCATCAACCTAACCCTATAAGCACCCAACTTCACTGCGTCCGCCAGCCACCCTCTCCCGAAAAGTAACCATAGGTGTCACAATGGGGCACATTGGCAGTGATCTTCACACCATTAGACCAAACAATCTCCATAGTAGAACCCATAATAGTCGCGGTGAAAGGCTCACAGCCTTGAAGTGACTGGCGGATACTGTCGAGCTCCTTCCAAGGGATATTCACGACTGCAGGGGCTCGTTGAAATGGAGCCGCTGGTTGGCCTCGAGCATGCTTTTCGAATATCCATGGCTCGCCGTTAATCATGAATACACCAGCCAGAGAATTGCCATTCTGACTAGTTAGGGATCCGATCCATTGAGGCATGACTGGATGGTCAGTGGGGAAGTTGGCAGTCTTTCTAGGAATAGATACTTACTGGACTTTTAGGCAACCTTTGAGAGCTGTGAAAAGGAGGAAGTGGGGAAAGAAATCGGTGAGGATTTGCTTCTTTTGTGTGACATTTACGTATCTGTTCAGAAGAAGCAAAGAGGAGGGATTGGTCGTATAGCTAAGCCGTGGATGTCTCATTTACCGCTATCTTTGTGTGTATCCAGCCATAGCATAAATGGATGTTCCACCACAGCTTCAAATTTGTTTCTTCACCGCTCGTTCTCACATTTGCGTATGACAGCGCTTATGCAGCTTGGTAATGTCTATGCTATATACGAGCATTGCCGAAAGGTAAAGTTGAAAAGAGTGGACTTTTAACCGAGCGTAGGAGCAAATCACATTAAACTATCAAATCCCGTGTCCAGAAGCACAAAGAGGCCTAACACCTTGAGTTTACAGGAATATGACCCCTCACAAGCTCTATCCGGTGCAGAGTGGATCGGCAAGTGTTTCCGCAACTAGTCTTTCGCATTTTAATGGGGCTTTATACAAGCGTTCTATGCTTAGCACTATCACACAGGTAGGCTTGGGGGTACCATCATCTAGTTACTGGGTGCATTATGCTGGAAGTGACCCTAATAAATCACGTAGAGAGAACAGCATTGGGGAGATACTGCAGTTCATTGTGCCATGTAGGCTAGACAGCTCGCATAGGTCCATGTAATCGACTAGAAGCCTCGAACAAGTTGATCAGACTGATAGTGATATAAAAAACTAGGAAAGGATGCATTAACTACCTACAACATACCCAGGCATATTGTAGGTGTATATAAGGAGGTGCGCTAATATAGATCCAAGGAAATAGTGGAGCATATATCTTCACTTGGTGTATGTTCTTTTTCTTTCTTCGGGGGAATTTCGCCGCGTAGATCATAAGCAGCCTTATATCAAGTTAGCAACGCCCATGAGGCTTTGGGGGTGACCTATGGAAACCTACATATGCCTGCAGACAGTTGGCCTTGGGCATTTAGGCAAGCATTCGAAGTGGCCTGGGCCCAGTGACGAGCTGCGTCACCGCTGCTATTTAAGAAGTATCAATGCCGTGTTATTGTCACGTCCTGCACCATACAAAGTAAGGTGCAGAACCCGCCTGGACCCGAGATGGCACCTTCAAGGTGGACCTTCGGAGGTCTTCGGGACCTGCGCAGACATATCAATGGCCTGCGAGATATATGGGTCCAATACACATGATCTCGCTTAGGCTGCGCATATTGTATAACTAGTGGATTTGGAACTATAGACAAAGGTTTATAGTTTAGTTTGAATATATACGTAGTACTAGTTGCAATTGCTTCGTAGTAGTAATTCGTATTATATATACCCTTAGTACTCTGATCATACCCTTTATAAGACCCTTTATAGTAGGTCTTTATATTCTAAACTATCTTATTTTTAATCGGACCGCTACTAGTAAAATATAGTGCCTATACGCCGAACCCGCGTAACCATAGAGTAAAGTAAGGAGACGCCGGAGGTAACTATAGAAGATAACTTCGAAATAGACCTCGGCCTTCCCGAAGGTAAATACGAAAGGGTATAAGTAGGATCTATAAACCCGACCGAATCTATCGCGGAAGAACTAATCTCTATTATAACTATTAAAGATAATAAATAAACTAAGGGTTTAAAGGTAGTAAAGGCCCGCGTATAATAGCTTAAAGAACTTAAAGAGTATCTAGAGATATAAGCGTAGATAGAGAAACGTATAGCGGAATTAAATATAAAGGCTAAGCTAAGTATTCCTCTAATAAGAATAATATTATTAGTAAATATAGATCTTAATAATAATAGGGAAGAAGATAATAAAATAAGCTTTAGAGTCTTTTTAATATACTATATATTAAGTACGAGATATCCTTTATATCTAACGAGTATTATAAAATACTCTAGAAAAATACTCTAAGAATATAAGATATAGTTAACGCGCCTAAATAATTACTTCGGCTAATATCTATACTACTTTAAAAATAATATTATAAAGATAGATAGGAGGGTCGAGGTCCTTAATAGTAATATAATAATAGTATAGGAATCCTATATTACTAAATCTAAGATACTAAAAACCTATATAGAGTTTATCTAGTTCTTATAATATATAGTAGATAATCCTTAGATTATCTATTAAGAAGTAGAAGAATAATAAATATATTACTAGTAGAGGCTAGACTAATTAGTTATAATATACTCGTTATATATCGACTAAATAGTAAAAAACCTATATATATTATTACTAAAGAATATATATAAAATACGTCTAAATATAGATATAATTAATAATATTAAAATAGAAGATTATAAATAGATCGAGATAGATCTAAACTATTTATATACCGATCTTTTAGATCGCCTATAAATTATCGAATTAGATCTAAATTTATAGAAGAAGATTTTAAAACTAAATTAATCTATCTTAGAGAAATAAGATAAAAAAGGTAAATAACTTTTTATAAAGACGTAGGATATAAAGGAAACCTTATAACTTATATATAAAAGACCGGAAAAGAAGTATAAAAAGAATAAGAAGTCTTTATCTATATATAAATATTACTAGAAGTATAGCTATAAAAAAAGTAAATACTACTTCCTCTATAAAAAACTAAGCGATAATATAAAAAATAGTAGAAAAGATAATATAAAAAAATAAAAAATCTAATACTCTAAGTAATAACTATATTAGGAGTTACTACTTTAAATCCGTAATCTCTAAAAGCCTTTATAAATAAGGCTATAATTTATATTAGGATAGAGAAAATCCCTATATATATCTTTATAGATTATAATATAAAATAGTCTTTTATTAATTAAAAATAGGTAAAATAGAACTTAGAAGACTTATAACTCCTACTACGAATAATTAAAGCTATCGATAGATAGGAGATTAGGTCTTATAGAATATAAGAAATAAAATTTAGCCTAATTAATAGTATAGGTATAAAAAGAAGTTATAACCTTATAATAGAAATAGTAGATATATAAAAATACGACTTAATCCTAGGATTCGACTAATTAATCTATAAAAACCTATAGATAGATTAGAAAGAAGCTTTATAATAGTATTATAGTATATAAAATAAAGATAATTTTAAAAGAATTATAATAGAGGACTATATATAGGACCTATTATAAAATATAAAATATATCTTAGTATACTTATAGGTAGGCTTAATAGGGTTTATAAGACTAAGAGTAATATAGGAAGAAGTCTTATTAAAGGAATATATAGACTTTATAAATATATTCGACCCTATAGAAGTAGGGATTTTAATATTATATTTAAAAACAGATTATATAATTAATCTTAAAAGAGATATATAACCTCTATAGAAATCTATATATCTACTATCTAAAGAATAGCTTTAGATATTAAAGAAATATATTAAAAAAGCTATAGATAGGGGGTAGATCTAATCTTCGTAAAGTCTTATAGGAGCGCTAATACTCTTTATACCTAAGAAGGACGGAGGATTAAGGTTATATATCGATTATAGAGGACTAAATAAGATTACTATTAAGAATCGGTATCTATTATTATTAGTAGAAAAGTCGCTAGATTATCTTATAGGAGCTAAGATCTATAATTAGTTTAATCTCTTAGATATATACTACCGCTTATATATAAAGATAGGAGATAAATAAAAGATAGTATTCTATATAAGATATAGGCTTTTCGAATATAGGGTTATACTATTTAGACTTTCTAATACGCTAGTAACCTTCTAATAATATATTAATAAAGTCTTTATAGACTTTATAGATATCTTTATAATTATTTATTTAAACGATATTCTAGTATTCTTATCTAGCGTAGAAGATTATATAGAGTATATTCGAAAGA